TGTTGATGATCATCGTATCATTCATTTTATTATGCCCAATTTAAAGTACGTGCGAAACGTAATTTTCACAATTATGTATTTATATGTTGAAGACATTAAAGATAATGAATAAACCACTCTATGATAGAGCTGCCACATCATTTCTAACTATACGTATAAAAATTTTCTAATTAGAAATTAACAAATTGTTGTAATGTTATATATTTAATAAAAATAATGCAAGACACTATTGAAAGGATACATCGCAAAGAAGTTGGGATAAGTTGATAAAAACAGCCAAAAGGAGGATGGAGTTAGTGTGGCGATAATAAAAAAAAAAAAAAAGCGGAAAGAAGACAAAAAGTGAAAAGAAGCGGGAAAAAGTATCGACACTCGTCTCTCTTCGAATTCTTGCACAAATATGACGCTTTCATTTCTCATCGAAGTTTACGATAATTATAAGAAGAGACTCGGCTCGACATTGCGTGCCCTTTATTCCGGTCTTCGATTCGATTTTCCCCCGTTCGACGTCAGTCCTTACGGGCCTTGACATTATTAACAACCAACAGCAGCAAAGATTTTCGAATGTGTCGTTCATTTCGTTGTTCATTCGAAAATAGAACGTCGAGTGCGCCGAGGCCTTTTTGCGCACGTACGCGCTGTTGAAAGGAGGCTGGGCACGTGATGATTCAGGGATATTTTCTCTCTCTCTCTCTCTCTCTCTCTCTCTCTCTCTTCTCTGTGGATTTGTTATCTCTTGGGTTAAGAGTGTTTGATGCAGGGCAGCATCTCTTTTGCGAGTCTTGTATTGCGAGAATTGTAATCCGTGGAACGTGTGGTGATATTGAGTAGACGGAGGTATCGGGTGTCAGTTGCGGTCGTAAAGCAAATCGATGAAATAGTAAACAAAACGATGTCACATCCCTGCACAATTAGCCATTATCTCGCTTAAGTCGTTTCTCATAATGCTATTTTCGGTAAATGCAATTTTTTTGCAAGTTTATTCTTTATTCTAACAGTTTAATTTAATAAGTACTTAGATCGAGTGAATTATTATATTAGAAATAAGGTTTTATATTTGAAATTGACCGATGTCTATATTAAAAATAGTTATATATATATATATATATATATATATATATTGTTAATGTGAAGCGTTAAAAAATTATAATTAGGGTATTTCAATAAGTTATTCGTATTAGGTTTTTCCATGTCTCTTTAATATAGAAATATTCTAGGATATAATTTCTAAACGATAAGTTGAGAGAAATTTTTTAGCGAGGTTTTCGTAATATTTATGCAATCGAAATTTTGGTAAAATTTATTAAAAATATCAAAGATTAAACATGAGATCAAACTTTCATCTTATTTTTTTAATAATGTAAATGATATAGTTTCATCGTATATCATTTTACATTATTTATAAATTTCAAAATTCTTAAACTAAAAGGATTTAGTATTAGCGGGACTATAAATTAATTTGCATTTATTCTGAGAAACTAAAATTACTTGTAGTAAATTAAATACAATGACAATTACACGCTTCAAGTGCATTATAATTGATGATTAAATATTATTTGCCTACCATATGATAAAACAATATCGCAAAATTCATGCAATTTTCCAGTTGCTCGCACACAACTGCTACAGATTAGCTCCACCTTCGATTTCATGCATATACCTATCTATACTCATACATACTGCAACAGTGAGCTCTCGATCTTTCCTATATGAGCTACTTAGATTTAACGAGAGAACGTATCCGAATAGCTGACAAAACTTGTCACAAGCACGATAGGAGGAAAATGTATGAAAAGCGGTATTGTCGATATGTGCAACGACCACACTATCCTGCGGGAAATCTTACGCTTTCGGTTGGATACTTTCTTTATCAACCATTTCTCTTATGCTCTGGGATTGAATTTTCTATTTCAAAGATTTTTCTGATTTTCCGGACAAAATACATGCTGCTCTTTTTGTATGCCCTACTTGATTGCCGGTTTTGTTAGTTGAATTCCCAAAGTGACAATTGTATTGGTTATCTCAACTAGTCATAAATTCTCGAGATCAGTATTTCTTGGCTTTTACAAAATACACAATTACGTGAGCTAACAATACAGTTGTGATGTAAATACAAATTTACAATGTTATTATTTTAATATCAATATAATCGAATCATAGATCGATAAAGACATTGAATTATTTCTTTATTTTCTTAATTAAACATTCTAACAGTAGTTTGTTTTATAAATATTACATTTAATGTCATTTAATGTTATAAAAATATATAAATATAATGTAGTTGTATTTTTCAATCAATATCACAAATAATAAAAATATAGAATAAAACATAATTGTGCAGTAATGAAAGTGGCAAATGTGAAAAATGCGTTACAACCTAACGAAGTCGTAAACAATGGAATAAATTTGCTTTTCAATAAAAATACAAATTCTTCTATGAACAAAATATAAATGATCAATCTATAAAAGTGCTATCATTTCTTTTGAAACTCATTTTTTCTTTGTTTATATTTATCTACATAAAATATCAGAAATGTAACAATTGTAATTTAATTTTTGTCAATTTCGACATACTGTAATCTGCACATTTGCACAAACACGCGTACTTTACTAATTATGTATATAATATTACATAATTGTTTATGTTCATAATTATTATTGTTGCATTATATTAGTATATATATTTAATATACAGTAATAATATATAATATATAATTAATATTCATTATAATGTTATTAGCATAAAAAATTTATATATATATATATATATATATATATTTATATAATTTGACAGAAAACAGAATTTTACATAAAGTATGTTATTTTTATTATTTTTATTTTTATTATTACATATAAGTGTAAAACATATTTTTACAAAATCATGTTGAGAAATATTAATAGCTTTCTGTTATATTTTAATTTTTATTCGAAATACAAATTAACAAGAATATGTAGTGTAAATTTATAAATCATATACCGGGTGTTATTATATTTATGTAATAAGTATACGTTAGTTTCAGTAGTTTTTAAATATTAATTCTTTTAAATTTTCGAGATACAAGTAATATGTTTAGCTATTATTTTTTAGAGAAATAATTGGTAAATCGTACTTTTTGCAAAGTCTCTGAAGTTTGAGAAAATTTTTTTCTTTTGATACGTTCGATAATAGTTTAATGCATTAGGTTTTGTTGAATAAATCTAAATAAATATAGTAAAAATTTATTATTCGATTTTCTTCGCTTATGGAGATGGGAAATAATTAAGCTAATAGGTGAAACTAGTACTTTATAGTTGTATCCTTAGTACCTTGTAGTAGTAACCATATAATTTTTACTGCAACAGATGTTATTAAATAATAGTCTTGCCCGTTTAATTCTATTTCTTCTCATTCAAACGTAAAAAGTACTTTATATTTTATCTTGATATTCTTTTGAATCCTTTTTTGTATTCATTATGGTAGTATTATTTTGTGACTATCTTAATTTTGCTTCTGCAATTTCATAAATGTAAATAATTACGATAAACTTTTTTTTTATTCGATGGGTATTAACAATATGATACTTTACCTACAAAAGTTAAAGAATTTAAGAATATTTATTTTAAAAATTCAATCTTATTATTCATCGAATTATTTATTATATCTATGAACAGCAAGTTAAAGTAAAATTATGTTTGTAAATAATTACGTTTTATTATATAAAAATAATAGATTTAAGAATTGTGAATGTTTAACTTTTTCAAGTAATTAATAATAATATTTAGATGAAAAATATTGACATTGTATCATATATCTTTATCTTACATAATTAATGTTCAAAATATTTCTTTACATTGACAATAACTTTTAATTATTCAGCTAAAAAAATATAATGCATAAGAAATATAAAGCTGAAAATTGTAACAATTACAAGCTCATTGCTTCTAATGAATTTTCATGAAATTTTATAATAAATTTTGTAATGTAAAAGCACCTGTCGATTTAACAGAAACTCATTTCACTACTTTTTGTCTACATTGCCATTATGTTTGTAAGAGTGTTTGGCTCTTTTCTATTATTTCGATAAAACTAAAATGGTTGCATGTCTGGCTATGGATGTTGAATAATCCAAAGGATTAGCAGAAATATTCTGGATTTATTATTAGACTGCTAATAATATTTCAAAATATTAAGAAATTCTTGGTGATGCATGTATATAATTTTCTAAAAGTTATTTACGAATAGCACAAATATTTGTTTGAAAATTTCTCTAAATTCCAAATCTAATACTAGTGATATATTTTCATTTATGTTTCAATTAATAATGGAATTTAATATTTAAATATTCATCTTACTATCTTTATAACTAATAAAACATAAAATTTTTAAATAATGTGAGAGAATTTTTTAAAATTTTATTTTAATTACAGTATAATGTAATGTTATTTATACCGAGACTAACTTTAATTATATACGGTTATAATCAGAAAGATAATATTGATATTTATAATTTTATTTGTTCTCTTCTAAATATATGATAAATACATATTTTAACCCATACGTGGAAAGATCTAAATTAATGTAACTGTAATAGTAAGGAATTCAAAGACAAGTTTAATTAGTGTTTAATTATTACGAAATAGACGTTCACTGTTGGAAAATAATAAATGTCAATATAAATCTATTAGTCAATATGTCGAAGAATAATAATTATCTCTCTAGTTAATGCAGTTTGAAATAGAGTGTTAAGCTGATTAAAGATTAAAGCTAAAATAACGATGCTATGGCCATTGAACTTTGCTTAAGAATGATCATTGTCGATCTCGCGCAAATCGAATGATCCTGGCTATTAAAAGTCACTCTCAACAAATAAACTCAAAAATTGTCATGAATAATTAGCCAAGGAAACGTATGTAGAGATATAAAGAATACGATGGGGGCGGCTGGTTAATCCTCGGCTCCCTAGATAAAGTAGAGTCAGGCCACAGCATCGTCGTCATACATCTCAGGTACATGTAAGCTAATGGTGCAACCGCATGGTTGTCTGTTATTTAGGGAGGGAGAGGGCGGCGGGGGTGGCCGCGGAGGTTCGGTCGCCGGAGGCGGCGGCGTCGGTGGCGTCGGCGGCGGTGGTGGCGGGGGCGCAGGCGGCGGGGGGAGGCGGGCGCCGAGCTTACGACTGGTGAACGGACGAACAACGACGGGCGTTGGACTGCACACGAGCAGCACCGAGTCTGTACGCTCGCCCCATCACCATACCGACACTCACACCAACGGCCATAACTACCACGTCGGCATCAATCCCTCCGCCAACCACAACAACAACAATCATGCCCGACTGAACAAGGATGACAGCATCAAGATCAGCATCGAGAATACCAACACCTGCACGGACAGTCTCGTTACCGCGTTAGACGACGAGACGCTTCTCATTACTGATTTCCTCGGCGATACAGGTCAGTTGTGTTAAATTAATACTCACTTGCGCGCATAAATTCTTATATTATCGGAGCAAAATTCAAATTTTGTTGCCGATTTTTTTTATGATTTGATGCCCTCTTTATACTCGTATGCCTTTGCATTGTTTTATGTAAGAAAAAACTGAGATTTTCCCGCCCTTTTCTTTCTAACATTTATGCGCTATAATAATGATGATACGGGATTAGGCAAAAGGTATGGGCCACACCGAAACCATGTATTCGAGGTGAATTCGAACCCTTTTATTTTATGACCCGATTTAGGGTAAAAAGACATTTAAGAGCGGATAACAGCCGAAATCCCTCTACCATCGTTTTTTCTCTATTTGACAGACCTTAATGTTCGTGGAAGTTCAAATTTTATCGCACGATCGTTTAACTATCGATCGAATAACTTATCATTCAACCAAAATTTGAATTAATATTTCATAATCGTCTCTATGAAAATAGTAATTATAATTTTTATATTTTTTAAACTATTTTTATAACTTTTAACTATTTTCAAGTATAGTTCGATAGAAATTGGCAATTTAAGTGAGCTTAGTGCATTTATCACTAAATATTGAGCTTTTGATAAAAATCTGTATCAGACGATTTTATTCATATAATTGTAATATAAAAAACATTTCGAACCCTTAAATTAATCAAATTATAGTGAAATCAATTTTTTTTTTATTTAGAAAATGAAAATATGGCATTATGAGTCAACATTAATTATGCTTCATTTATTGATTCCTTTTTTTTTTTTTTTTGTAAATATGATATTCAAATTATCATATTTAAATTTTGATGTTTACAAATACTTTTTTTTTTTTTTTTGTATTGATGTACAAGTATCTTAGAGACATCGTTTTTGCAATTTTTTTCTAAAAATTTATTGAAAATATTAATTTTATTATATCGTACATTTAATTTGTTAGTCTATTTTTTTTTTATAAATTTTAATGCAATAATTTATTATCAAATTGTTATCGTTATTATTGTTCTCGTATATTTCTCACGTATGTTATATATTTTTGAACACTCAAATGGAAGTTATGGAATTTAAGAAGTTACATTATGAAAATATTCATGTGGGTGAAATAAAAGTTGAGATACTAGAAATAAAAAAAAAAATTAATATAAAAACATTACAAATGGAATGAAAGTAATTATTTAATTCAACATTATAGCAATTAAATATGCATGCAAAAAATATTCGCGCACTTCATTCGCATCAATAATAACAGCATGCACATCCTGTATATGGTTTTACAAATAAAATTTAAACTGTTTGCAACGCGGCTTCCGGAAGTAACAACGTTGATGCAATTAATAACACACCGAACATTCTCAATAGTGTTGGTATCCAAATTCTTACAATTACCTCCACGAAATTACAGAATTCACATTATTAAAATCATTATATGTTCCGCAGTTTTATTTTATATTTTCTGCCTACGACAATCTAATGAAAAGCACTAGGTATGTTCATAATAAAATCACTATAATATAAAATATAACACATATTTGAATGAGATTAAAATTTTTTTTGATAAAATATACTATGAAATTATATTTTTATAATAAGAGGTTTTAATCAGTACTTTTATAAGTTTTAATAAATATATAGATAATTTTATATAGCTCTGTTTTATGAAAACGTTATCTACATTAAATATCGCTAAAAGTATTAAAATTTAATTATATTTGAAAGAAAAATTTGAACTTGTTTCACACCTCTCATGTCGTTAATTTCATTTTTTAACACTTACAAATCTGCCCAAATATTCTAAATAAGGTATATCATGATTTATTAGAAGATACAATTTCAAAAAGTTGATATTTGGTCAAATAATATGCAATTAACTTATATAATCATATTTCTTGCTTGTTATTGATAACTTTTTCATTAATTTTGCCTAACAATAATAATTTAATGCAATTACAATAATTTCGGCATTTTATGTATATTTCACTTAATTATGCTTGATTCTGATTTCTTCCTTAATAAATAAATAATTAAATAGATAAATATTTTGTATTTATTTATTATATATATATATATATATATATATATATCAATGTGTTTTTATATATATGTTCGTTTGCGTATGAATATTCTTATCGTATTTGAAACCCATTTTGATTTCTTTTTCGTTTAACGGTCGCGCAAATACGCGTACATACGAGGTCGTAGTAATTAAAAATCGTGAAAACGTTAAGGAAGATATGAAAATGAACAGGTTTATTTGAATGTGAAAAATGATGTTAAAACTCATACAGGACAAAATATAAAAGAAAATGGATTCATTAATCGTGGACTGTCGTGTATCTGCCAAGTTAATAGACGCAAATCAATAAATATTATCAAAATTCAAAAAATAAATAGTATTATTTATTCATATATAATATCACAATTACAATTTATATTTAATATTTATAAAATGTATTTTTATTCCTATCAAATGCACATGTACATGTATATTGTATAGAAAATTAGATTTCATATATAAATTAATTAAATATTATTATTTCATATAATTTTTCACTGAAAATCACGGTTATATTTCGTATAGTTGATAATTTTAGGAAATCTTCACACGAATCGTAAAGCAATAGTTTTGGGAATAGAAAAAACATTTGTGGTATTAGTAACGATAAAACATTAATATTTCAAATTGCCGTTCGCTTGTTATGGAAAGGTTGATTAGAAAATTCTCTGGCAAGTGTGTACTAGCGGATATACAAGAGGTTCACATATTCAATGAAATATTTATTTTCAGAAAAAGTCCAAAATATGTAGTTCCTGCTTTCTTCGTTTTTCTGCCTTTGTCTTCCTCCTCATTTCTCATTCTGTTATCTTCATTATCTCAATTACTCCAATGTATAAATCGAGCAATTTTCAGGTTTATTCGCGATCTTAATATTGTGAAATGTAATTCTTGCAAGTGGCATGAAATTTCTCCAACAGCGTCTAATGGTTTACGCTCTTGTGCAGTTGATATCTCGAGAAATTATCTAAGAATTTTTCATGTTTATCTTTTACTCACATCAACATATCGTTGATACTCGAATGAAAATAAAAACAAACAAATTGTTTTAATGCAATATTTGATGTAATTTACGACAAATTTCTAATGGCAAAAATGATATTTATTTATTATTGGAATTGAACAAAGTTGAGCTAATTAAATTATTCTTTAAAATTAAATTTTACTGTAACCATATAAGACATATAATATATAATATATAATTCTATATACCATGTAGACATATAATCTATAATAATGATTAGTATCATAAATTTGAATTCATATACGTTAAATAGATTTGATTAGATTTTTAATTCTATAATACTTTTCTTATTTCACTTAAACTAATCATTTGTGTTTGAATTTCGAATCATTTAATAGCTCTCGTATTATAATCAAATTCTTTCTATTATTCAGTGACAAACGAATAACTAGAAAATGATATTACCTCACAAATGTGCCTTACTTTAATTTTTTCAATCCTCCACTGTGTTTCTACGCGCAATTGTACAATTATTTACTCACTTGCACGTGCGTCTGCGCGCAAAATAAGTTTTTAAAATAAGGAAGGTACATATATTGGAAAATCATATGGTACAATTATAAAATTTATTTTTGACACGAGGTTGCACTAAATGTCACACTAAATAATTGTGTAAACACACTTCTACGACATTATGCTTGTGGAATGCAATTTTTAAAATCTTTGTCCATTGAATCACAGTTTCTTATAATGACAAAATCCGTAATCTCATATAAAGTAGTTAGTTGATATTAAACAAAGCTGAGTAAATTACTGAGAAAAAAAGTTTCGCATTCAAAATAAGGAACAGCTCAGTATTGGTAGACACATTAGCCTTTCGGTCCGTCTAATGAGTTCTAATTGCGCGTTACCAATCTTATTATTCTATTCTCTGTACAGGCAACGATATGAATTACAAAGGAAGCGGCAAAGTCCATTTCGGGGTGGACGATGTCTCCCTATATGGCACGCCGAAGGAGGAGTTGGGCCCCGGCCTGCCCGGCCAGGAGGTCAAGCAGAGCTTCATCAAGAACCAATTGCAGGCCCTGTTTCAACCAACTGACAACAAACTGGCCATGAAATTATTTGGTAGCAAAAAGGCGCTCATGAAGGAGAGGATCAGGCAAAAGGCCGCGGGTCACTGGGTCATCCATCCTTGCTCGAGCTTTCGGTAAGTCAGTCACTCTATTCGAAATCGATTAACCCATTATTTTATATATTGTTTAAAAAATCTTTCCAAATCGGTGCATTGGTATATTAATTAATGTCCGACGATGGTTGGTAATGGAAAACTTTATTACATTTTAATTAATTGATGTGAATAATTCTTTATATTGATATTATTAAAGTATTTATAAACATTTTGCTTATGTATTTCTGAGTCTTGTCTTTCTTATTAAGATGCTTAATGAGTAACATATTTTCAAATACAATATTCTATTGACTCTTACTTTCAGCGTAAAACTTGAATTTTCAACAACAGCTCGAGCTGGATAGCATTGTTAAGATTCTATGTTTAAAGCCATTTTTTCAAATTCCAAAACCTAAAAGTTGATTTTAAATACTTTACATAGTTTGCTTAAATGAACTAATAATGAGCAATGCATTGTATATTGAATTAAAATTAATCTTTATTTACACATTTAAATGAGAAATCGCTGAACTTTATAAGTAATTTAATTGCAAATTAATAAAAAGTGTATAGATGCGAAGCACAACATCCTAATTATACTAATGAAGAATACTTTAATAACTAAACGTTTGAATTATTATAGAATAATCGAACAATTTTCATTGATGTTGTCGGTCACAATAACATTAAAATGTCAATTATTTAGTACAATTTAATAGTATAAATAAATCTTCCAGACTATTAAAACTAAAAGATATAACTTAAGTTATTTCATTTATATTAATGAAATTTAGTAATTTGATTTAGATATAAAAAAAAATTTAATTTACATTAGTCCTAAATTAAATTGAAAAGAAAAATTTTCATGACATTGTAATAAATTAAACATTGCAAATCATATTATTAATTATAGTGATGGAAATTTTTTAATAATATTATACTATTATATTCTAATACTTTCGGAATCATTCATTTCATAATAACTTTCTAAATTGAAAATTTAATTGAATTGAAAAAATTGAATATCTCTTAAATATTCAGGTAAAATACAATAATTAGGATGAAATTTTTTTTTTCATCGATGGATAGGATTTAAATGATGATTTTTTTTTTTTTATAAAATGATAATGTCAATAATTAATGTATTTATATAATGTAATATATAATAGGCAATAAATGATGAGAAAAAATTAATTAGTTTTATAAAAATGTGATGACATGTATCCTTTTATATTTTCTTCTATATGTAAAATAGGAGGAATGGACTAGAATGGTTCAAAATGCGAATGATTGATAGATTGATTGAAAGATAGATAGATAGATAGATAGATAGATAGGTAGAAAGAGAGAGAGAGAGAGAGAGAGAGAGAGAGAGAGAGAGAGAGAGAGAGAGTGGGGAAAAGAAACATAGGATTAATGACTAAAAAAAAAAATTTCAGGGTAATTTATCATACAATGCGAATACCACGTGTAACATACGTCTCATTCGTGCTTTACTGTCCCCAGTTACAGATTTTCAAACTACGATTTATTGATGAACTAACAATGACATTTTGATAACTATTGCGAAAATAAATTGTTAAGTAAAAGATTTACGCTCTATTGAAATACATGAAAAATTGGGTGAGTTATATCCTCAATGTAATTAAATCAATTGACAATGTTTATGTAGGGAATTATTAGTTGGTAAGTAGTATTAATTACGTAATTTAGGCAATTATGAATTTTTCCACTTCGGTATCTGTATCTTTTATTTTTGTTATACTAATTTTCTATCTTTACATGTATACTATCAAATCAATAAATTAATGCTGAAGGTTAATAGTTGGAATAGTGTAATTCCTTGGATTTCTCATTACAAGGACAATTAAGTTATTCTTAAACTTGCCATGAAAGTATACATAATATTTTAATTATAGAAAATACTCTGAAAACTTTATGATTTAATTTTAAGTATATTTAATGTCTTCATTATATAAAAGTTAAATATTTTCTGAATTTTTCTTTTTCAATATCATTTAAAACATAGAAATTATTATTTAATGAATCATCAATTTAACGATAAATATAATAAGGGGTTAATTATTTTTAGAGACAAAGTTTTACAAAAGTCTGTTGAATTAAACTGAACTTAAAATTACATATGAAATTATAATATTAAAGTATATATTCACTAGAAAACCTAAAATCAGATATTAATGGTTCTAACAGACAATTACACTCATTCTAATCACAATCTCGAATGTCTTTTGCAATTACCTACTCGTTGAGTATTATACGTAGTATTCTAGATGAACACGCCGAAGTTTATATAATTACCGTATTGCAAAATATCGTCGATGCAAATATATATGCATAATTATTGTCTAAATTCGTGAAATATTCTATAGGTGCTGCTCTCTAGGATTAAACTAACAATGTTAATCCGATAACGAAAACTTCTTTTAAATTTTGTGTTTCCGTTTAGTCGGAAGGTTTATCTTTTTTTCATAACATAGATAGATAAATTATTTGTTGTAGTTAAGAAACATAGATTCTACTGAAAAATTTGATATATTTAGTGTATTTGGTGAATAATTGTCCCTTACTTATTTACAATCGAGAAATATTTATTAACATAATATCAAAAGGGCTTCACTATTTATTCAATTTATTATTTATTTTATAAGTTCATATGATTTTTATAATTATTCTCAATATCTCTTAAATGATATATCGTAGAATTTTAATTGTTTTTATCCGCTTGGTCTCGACTATTTTTAAAATCCGATTCCGAAGAAAACTAATATAGCTGTAAACATAATGAGCTACGAGAATTTCTTCACCTCAAGTTTCTATACTTTTAGAACTTTCAAATTATGAAATTTGTATAAAAATTAGACAAAGTAGGGGAACGATTTATTGAAATAATAAAACATGCTGGTTATTATGTAATTCTATATGAAAATTCTATAAATAAATATAACATTATTTTAAAAATCTATTAAAAAAGAGTTTTTTTTCTCTTGTTCTTTGTACTATATTATACGGTAAAGATGCAAATGTAATTTTTACCTTTAATAATTGTTTAATTTTGTATAATAGTACAATTACAATAGTTTATAATGTATTAATTCATTTTTCTTTGAATTTCTCCATTAAATTATGTATATTCGTATGACAAGCTAAATATGGCTCTTTACACAAATTATTATAGCTTAGACTTTATTATTATTTATTCATCCATTTCTGAATGGATCAATTGAATGCTAATACGAACCATTGACTCTATATATCGCTTTCTATGTATATGCAAAATCACAAGCTTGTAATAGTATCAGGAACAGATTTCAAAGACATCTACACCTACACATATATAGTTGAATGGCCTAAATTTAAATGCGGGGAGTGGAAAATGTGAAGTGGCATGGGCATCTGTAACTATAATCAGTGAAACGATGTACTATCTCTTTCATTGTCTCGCTTTCTTTCTCTATCTCTATCCCGCATTTTCTCACTATTCTAATTCTTTTTTATTTCAACGGAGGTAATACAAATGAAGGGGCTGCAATTAGCCCAGATATAGAAGCAACCATGTATACCTAATCTTACACCAGCATTTCTTTGGCTTATGAATTTCAATGTTGTTTGCAAGAACGTATAAATGCACTCGTATGCACGTGCGCGCAGTAGATTTAATTTTTTGAAATATTCATCTGTTGTCTTATTCTTCTTCAACTCGGATTTCAATCATTGTAATGATGGAAAGAAAGCAGTAGTGAGTCATAGAAACGGTACTGATGAACCTATTCTATCTTATGAATCGTTTATCTTATGATGTTTATGATCGTCGTACTGTTACTGAGAAAGACCAAACTGCTTTTCCTTCTGATTCTCTCATTTTCTTAATTTTTATTTTAATAGTTATGTTGAAAATTCCTGTAATTTACAATTTATTTTATACTTATCGTGCGATTAGATTACAAACAGATGTTGTAACATTAGATATATTATTTTCCCGATTTTTAAAAGTAACGTGTTATGGTGAACAAACATTAAAAACGAATTCAAAAATATGATCAATTCAATAAAGGAAATCTATTTTTCCATATCAACTTGATTTTGTATTATTTTTTAATAATAAATCATGCTAAAATTAAATAAATGTGAAATACTTTTAATATATAATTTATTTAAGAAGAACTTAACTTCTGCTTATTAAGGTATCAAAGATCAGTTATAACAAAAATTATAATGAATAATAAAATAATCGTCTTCATACTCTTATTACAACGTTAAAACCGATCATGGATAAGTTTAATCGTATAAAAAGAAATTATTATTGTCAGATCTTTAATAATAGAAAATATAAAATTAATAATTAAATTAGTTCTTACTTTTACGGACATTAAATTTGTACTTTTCAATAGCAATAGAATCATTTTTGAATTGTGTATTTTAAAAATTCTCTATACTTTAGATAACTTGACGAAGAAAATAATCAGTAGTCAAGTTTCGTTTTAGTATGTTTGTGCTGTATTCGAACGGTTTATAAGTCCAAATATATTTTCAACGAAGGCTGTACAATTTGTCATAATTCATCAAAGATATTTTATAATATTCAATGAAATTTTATGTAATGATTATATGTTCATATATAAAGAGAGAGAGAGAGAGAGAGAGAAAGAGAGAGAGAGAGAGAGAGAGAAAATAAGATTTAGCAGTTCCTAATTGTTGCAGCTTGTCTAATTAAACTCGAATCAATTTCCAAATATTCAAAAATATTAAAATAATATTTATAAAATTCAATATTTTTATATTTTCGTAAATTATCTATATTTTATATTAATAGATTATTATTAAAGTAAATTATTAAAGTTTTCTAAGTTTTAACTATTAAAGTTGAAGAATAATATAGGCTTTGATTTTTGGTCATTTACGTTATCTATTGCCAGCGTAAACAATATTTTTGCGAATAAGATATTTCCATATTTAGTATATCTAAATTGTGCGATTAATAGTAGTATTATAAATGTTATTAGATGTTGTATATAAATCAT